TGGTCGTGCCCTAAGCCACGTTCACTCATTCCCAGCTTTTAACAACGGTATCCACGGAATTCGCACCGAATCCGTACCCGAGGCGATTTGTAATTCGGGCCCGCGACCGTTAAAGGTTGCGAAAGTGCCAACCTTCGCCTTCTCCGAAATATTGCGAGACCTGCCTTACCGGCCCTACAGGATATGTTAATGGCTTGGGACCCCGAGGATCCCGAGGAACCCAAACCTCTTTCATTCTTCTCCCTCTTTTCTCGTCAGTCTTTCCCCCTTCCCTTCCGTACCTTTAGCTTTGCCATGGCATAAAATTTTGGGGCATTTAAATATTAAATCTTGATAGGAAAGCCATTGGTCAAAGAAACGTCTTTTGTACCGTTCAATTCGCTCATCTGCGCTGACGGTTGCCGCCGCATTTTTTTATTCTGTCTCCCCCATTAATTCCCTTTGCGGAACCCGGCTTGATTTTTTATACGCAGAGAAATCGGTAATTATACAACAATGTAGCTAACTTTAAAGCGTTGCGCCAATTAGTTACATTGTGTTAAAAAATTTAACACAAAAATTTATTCTGAAAATAATAGTCAATACATCAATGAACTTATTGCGGATTATTTCACTTGTTGTGATATATTTTTATCTATCTATTTTTATCTGACACTTCAAGATATTTTACTTAGTCTAATGCTAATTATGTTAACTCTTCGTAGGCATACATATTTTTACTTATAGACGCTCTGGGTTTTTTCTGTCCAGCCCAAATCTTTTTAGTCTCTATTCTAGAAAAAGGCTTTCAAAAATTCAGAATTACTTTCCAACATCTCTGTTACATTGCTAAATAGTTTTTCAACTCAAATGTTAAAACCTTTATTTAATAAAAATTGGAAAAATGTGTACCAAAAAATTTTAGAGTGGAATTTCTCTCGGGTAAAAAAAGAGGCAATGTGCCTAGGATTAAGTAAAGTTGAATCATAAATATAGTCTCGCGCGAATTCCGAAGACAGCATGTCGTGAAACCGTATGTTGCGTTAATTAAAAGGCGTAATTAAGCGTTTCACCCCTAACGCGAGATACACGATTACTATTCCGATTGCTAGATTAGTCGACGGCAGATCGGTATTATTCTTCCAAAGGGCTAAAGAGCGTGCCAGTCGTCGAAGACGCACGTCGACAGGTAATTACCTAATTTGCACGCGAGTGGCACGCTTCATGCGTGTGTATGTCTGTCCATGGTGCCTAGCTATCGGGCGTACACGCGTCTCGGATATAGCCCAGCTCAATACTAGAGCCGGGTAGTGTATATAGGGGTGCCCCGTTCGCCCCGTCGTCGTTGTACCCCTCGCGCAACGGACTTTCAAGGCAACGGACGAGAACGAAACGCGCCATGTGGCGGCGCAACACTTCCATGCCGCTGCACGACGGCATTTGCAACGGCGATAACGTCGTCGAAGAGTGCAAAAGATCGTGGCCGGCTGCGAACGCCTGCGACGTTCTCTTAATCCGACCATAACTCGCGTAATATGGGATCTATTGAATTAAGCTCTATTTAGGATGTAAAACGCCGCCGTTGTATATCGATTATCACACTTGAATTATTTCGGCGGCGAATTACGTAGTCTTTTCATATGCAAATAAAGAAAAAAATATGATAACTTATACACGGAAAGAATGATTTTGCTGAAGTATTTAAAAATTTAGATACACTGAAAAAAAATTAAAATTTTAATAAATATATTTATTTAAACAGTTTGACGTCAATATTTATTATAAATGTAAACAGATATTTATTTAATAAAAATTAAATTGATTTTACTATCATTTTTTAAGTAAATATTTATTTACTGTAAGTAAATGTTTACTGAATACTATTCAAAGAAATATGTATTAAGATTTAGTAATTTTTTTTCAGTAGATACATATCTGAAAATAATTTTGTTAGAAAACGTCAAAATAATTATGTAGAAATTTCAAATATAATGAACAATGTTCCAAAAAGTTTTGACATTCTAGCAACCAGTTTGAACGTCCTACATAACTATTGTATTTTGATGGCCCAATGAAATTATTTTCAGATCTGTATCTATTATAGCTAAATTTTTAGATATTTCAGCAAAACCATCCTTTTATGCTAAAAGTTCATATCTTTTCTGTTATTACTCCGTTATTATAATAAAATTGTTATTAACAAATGAATTGACACTTTCTCCGAGCTTTCTTTAAACAAGTAAAACTTCGAAAAGTGAATTTCCACGCGTTCAAGTCTCTTGCTTTTACTTCAATTCAAATAAAAGAATAATAACGTTAATAAATAATAAAAAGCTCTAAACAAACTGCAGCCATCCACATTTTATGTCTAAAAAGATTAGAAAAAAACTTAGATTAGTTAGTATCGCATATATGTATTAGTAATTAAATTGTTATCCTCTTATCATTCCTGGTTATATGTTATAAATATTTATAGAGTTGTAAACTCATTACAATTGTTTTTCCGTCTCATCGGGTCATCGAACTCGATCATCGCATTAAGAAAATAAGATACGGAATCGGTCAGTCACCTTTAGAGCTAAACGTAGTGTTAAAGGGAGTCGGAAATACGGACCCTAGTCTTTCGCGCGAGACAGCTGTATTCTTAACGGTCTCTCGATGTGTTGATGTCTAACGAGGGTAGGTCAGTATCGATGCACACACGATGCGTTTATGCATGTACTAAACTTTCATCGAACATGTGTGTATGTGTTTACTCGCGAATAATTAGAGTTATCCTCTTTAATTATTAATTCTTTTCATTACTCGTGTGCAAATTAAATTAAAATTCTAAACAACAACGATGAATTAAAAAAATAAAAAAATTATTTAAAAACATTCTAATATATAAATATTTAAATAAAATTTTTAAATACACTCTCTAAATCTGAATCAGTGGATAGTCACTAATTATTCAGTGGCATATATACTTGGCACTGATATCAGTGAAGTTCAACTAAAAAAGGAAGAATGTTTGAGCATTATATAACTAAAATACTGATATCTGTATGTTAATTTCAATTTTCCAATATCATATTTATTGAATTTATGCACTAAAACAAGATTAGTTAGATCACATAATAAAAATCAGCTAGGTTAGGGATCTCACATTTCATTCATTGATTACCAGTGGCATACTTGACACTGATTATCCACTGATTCAGATGTAAAGAGCAAATATCTAGTATGTAATTGTGTCAGCCTTGCATGTCATTGCGTTATATGAATGAAACGTAAGCGATCGACTGCATCTCTCAATTTTAAATTGCTAAGGGTGATACTAATAAATATGTCATAAATAATTACATCAATAATTGTGCGAATTAACAAAGTTGTATGTTATCCAGAAATGTATGTTTCAGCTTCACAAGAACGTGTTACCATTTTGGAAAAAAAAAAGATATCAGATGAAGAGATCTTGCAAACATATTTTTAAAGAACAAACTTTAAAAAAATGCCGTACGATATTTACGTTTGATCGAACTTTCCCATCGCCAATCGTCAGACTATCTGACTATCGATATCCCAATAACGTTTAAGTACCGTAAGTATCCCCAAAGCATGAGGGATGCTCGCTACCGTCTGTGCCCAGCCGTTCGCTCGCATTGCGAACCTCCACGGGGCTTTACCGGGGGCATGAATAAAAGGGGGCGCCAAGCCTAACCAGCCACCCAACAAGGAGCAGGTGAGCACCTGGTCTTCGTAACCCCGGCACGAGCTACTACTTGCCTCACGGTTGCGAGAGGGTGCTCAACGATCGCGTCGCGCGAGTTAATTAATTCCACATCACGGTCACCGAAAAGTTAGAATCATTTGAAAAAAAAAAATAAATAAATAAATATCGCATCTTCATCAAAAAATATTTACGTAAAATGTGTGTTTCATCGATAAAAAATATGTGAACTGAACAAATAAAACACCAAATAAATACTAAAAAAAAAATTAAATTTTAATAAATATTTGTTTGAATATTTCTAAGTAAATATTTATTAAATAATAAACATGTGTGTGTTTATTTAATAAAAAAATGTATATGTTAATTTTATTTACTCAATCATTTTTTTTATTGAATAAATATTTATTTATTGTAAGTTTATGTTTACTTACTACTCAAAGAAATATTATATCAAGATTTAATAAGTTTTTTTCAGTGAAACACACAACGCAAACAGCGTCAATACGATGCATCAATAATGATACAGGTGTTGAAAATAGGCTTAATGAAATTAATAAAGTAAATGCGTATCACACACACACAAAGAAATCCATAAAATATCACCGTGTTGGAATCGCGTGAATGAGAACCACTGACAACTGAGGCTGCGAACTCGCGGTTGCGGGGTTCAGACCGGCGGCAGACGTTCACAAATCGTTGAAGGACGGGGAAATCCCTAACGAATAACCCGCCTTTCGGAAGGCTCTCAGGTTCCGCTCTATCAGTATTCGTTTTGCCCATAATTAACTTGACATAATTCCCGCCCCGCTCATCATTATGAAAAAAAATCTGTTAGAATTGTAAACTATATTCCTAGCATTATTAAAATTGCCAATGTTCCTAGCATTATTAAAATTGCCAATTATGATAAATATTAGTAGTACTTCAGATTTAACATGTTGTTCAGCAATGTTATCTATTCATGATTATCAATTCGAATTTTTATTACAATTATTTTAATTTAATACGCTTAATATTTTTTAGTCACATTATCATGTAAATATGTTTTTTTTTGTTCTTATATTGTAGTGTAAATAATTTCGACGCAAATTACAAATTTATTTACGCGAAAAGTTGTCGTCTCTATCAAGTTACACTTTAAGTCAATTTATTGAGTTCTTTAAAAGACTTAAGTGATTACTGTCTGAATCGAAAGAATGTAGGACGATATTTATTTCAATAAAACTTCTCGTATACAATCTCGTTCTCGAATTATTTTGCAGAGACACGGCAATCTCTTCGCGTCGATGATACTTTTGCAATGTACCTTTTGAACGTGGAAAGTGACGCTTCTTTGCACTGCCTGAATCCAGTGATGATCTCGACAGATCGCTGGCGATGGTGGACATTGGCGATTCCATGTTCATTGCCTCGGCGAGGGATCTTCCGGAAGAAGCTAAATCTTCATCCATCCTGACGTTGGTTGACGACGTTTACTTTGCGTGGACGCTCGTTCTCGATGAGGCGAGTCGGCAAATGCAGACAAGAATGCGACCTCTCGAATTTATCGTCGAATCGACGTCAGGCGCGACGTTGGCTTCTAGAAAGAAAAAAAAAAGAAAACTGATAGTACTTCAGTGACGTGATGCTCAGTGATCTCTTGTGATCCAGCGGAAAAATACACCATGGAATATAATCAATGTTTTAATCGTTCGGTTGTTCTAATGGAAGGGCGATGTTCACCGTTCAAGATCATCTTTGCCGAGGAAAATAATCGAAGAATCGGGGAAACTTTTGAGAAATGACGGTGAGGAACGTTGTTATTCATACATACGTCTCTCGGTTTTATAAAAGGTCCTCTACATAGAAGTCGTAGACGGTCGTGGAGTCTTAAGTCATAGGAAACTGACCAATTCCAATCGAGTAAATATTCTCCTTATATTTGATTATGATTGGTTGGTTTCCTACGACTTAAGACTCCACGACCGTCTACGACTTCTATGTAGAGGACCCTTAAGAGTCATAAATCGAGATCGCAAATATCAAATCTTGGATGTACAATGGGCCACCAATTGGTGGGAACGAGACCCATCGTCGTTATATGATTTCATCCTCGACAGTCCGTTGATCGTTATATATACGGGGTGTCCAATTATTGTGATGATGCTCGATTTTGCCTAGTCGCTTTTTGCGAAAAGATTTCCTTGAAATTAACAGTAAACGAAAATAATATATCATGATTACGATATAGTGTGCCCAGAAATGTCCCTTTAGTCTTAAAAAATTGTCCATTTATTATAATTCGTTGTTTTAAATGAGCATTAAAGTAATACTTCATTATAGATGTTTTCGAGGACAACCATCCCTGGTAGCAAGCTGACGTCAAAATGACGTAGCTTGCTACCTGGGATACAAAATATAGTTGTCCCAAAATATGACTATAAAATTATAGTCACTTGAATCATTTTTATGGTAATTTCAACTATTTTATGGTTATAATAATTATAATTATAGTCACTTTAGGTTGCCAACTATATACATTTGTTGTTAGAACTATATACATAGTTACTGTTATTATTATAGCAATAATAATCATAATTATAGTAATACGTAATTATAGTTACAAATACCAAACATTTTTCTCTCGGTGCAGGATGCAGAAACACTAGAAGCAAAACGATAACGCTGATGGAACTCGTAACGATAACGCGTTATCTATTTACGGTTATTAATTCGAATTTTCATATTACAGTTCAAAGTATTTAATTATATCATACATATTCAATTATATAAATACAATATCATGTACATATATTTTCTTCTTTTTTTACACTTTAATATATAAAATGATCATTTTGAGGTTACAATTTATTTATTGATCTCGAATTTTTTTTCAAGAAACTTAAATAATCTTCTAGAGAATATATCGAAAAGCTGGCCAATTTTAATCCGGCATTACTATAAAACGGTGTAAATTATGGTGATAAATCCCAAATACTACAAACATAAAGTTACATTCTCTGTAAAAAGAAACTGTTGTCTATTATTGTAAAATAAACATAATTTATTTATAATTTTGACAATCTTTTTAAGTAAAATTTGAATACAATTTAATTTACAATATTCTAAAAATTTTACGTTTATAAAATTAAAATCTAATGGCCTTTAAAGAATCAAAATTAAATTTTAACAATCGCGCCACTCAACATTTCCCTTCGAAGTGCCGGAAATAAAATTTCTTTACGCGTACTCGTACAATAAATCTAATCACACAAGTAGAATCCACAATTAAGTAAACGATACTTTCGTATTAAATTTGTTTGGAGAAATCTACAATCAATGAAAACAGGTGGAGTAATTCATTATAATAGTTGTGAATTATTTCAATTACTGCAAAATATGAACGCGATAACAGTTTCTCCTGTAAATAGAAATATTATCGCGCCTTCTCCCTTCTCATCGAAACCGTTGAAGTCGATCCGAGTCGTTACATTTCCCGGAAACCCTAGTGGGATGAATATTTCTTGTCGGCCTCGACTATACACTAGGTGTGCCGCAAATCGCGACTTCAATCTTATTCATGAATCTATTCTACATAATAGTTTTTCTTATAGTGAATTCAGTCTTGCATTATAGTAGGTTAGTGTATACTAAAAGTTGCTACATGAAATTAGCAAAATTAAATGTAAAAGCATATAAATATTTTAAACGATCGATTAAATAATGATATTGTCACGTTATTTAACAGAATATATACGTATTATTTCATTGTCAAAGTTATTAATGTTGTACCACTGCATTCAGATACTTTAAATAAAGTAGCCTTTAATGTGTACTAATCAAATAATAAGATCGATAATCAATCTTGTTGTTTGAATTATAAAATACTTTCGATTTTTTAATTTAAAATACACAATACTTTTATGTGTTCCGCTGAAATACAAAATATATATTACAAATTATAAAAATATTACAAATACTTTTATTTTAAACACAGTATTTGTAGTACAATTGTATTTTGTATTCCATATTTCAGCGGGGCACATAAAAGCTTTCTGTATTTCAAATTAAAAGATTAAAAGTATTTTGTAATTCAAATAATAAGATTGATCGTCAATCTTATTATTTATATAATTAATTGGAAATATAAAATAGAAAATACTTTTACAAAATACAAAACGCTTTTATGTGCTCCGCTGAAATACAAAATACAAGATACAAATGTGTTACAAATATTGTTTTTCAAATACAAGTATTTTAAATACATGCCCAGCCCTAAATCCAATATAATGCAATTAAGTAATCAAATTCGTTATTAATGAGACCGTATTAGAATTACTCGATCACGAATGACGAATCGTCTAAAAACGAGGTCGTTAATTGTGGAACACCTCAGATGTACAAATCTTCGCATACAAGGAAAATTTAAAAAAATCACAGGATTAAAATCTAGAAAATGGACAATTTCTTCGCGCGTTTTTCCTCCTGCAATGGCGCGTCGATCTTCGACACTGAAACGCTCACGACGAAACCTGGTTGAAAAAAAATTCACATGAAATCTCACTCAAGTTGTTATTTGTTGTACCCTGTTTGTATCCTTGACATCGCACTTTATGGCCGAGTCACGATCGAGAGAACGATTCAATACATGCTATAATGGGTCATTATGTTACTAAACAAATGTTATACATTTTATATAAATTATATTATACAGAACATAATTAATAAATAGGTTAAGTTTTTTTACCTGAACTTCTTGCGTTTATGTGCACAGAGTTCATATCTTTTCTCTTTTTCTTTAATGGAGAGAAAATTGAATCATGCTAAAGAAGTTCAGCTAAAAGCGACTCACAAAACAATTTTTCAAAGGATATTTCTAAAGACGTTTTAGGGATCCTAAAGGGATCTATATATTAAGAACGTTCCGAGGACGTTCCCTTGGGAAATAGATTGTATGGGAACAAGTCTCTATATATAATAAATATACCTTCTACTAAATATTTATTTTCCAGACAAAGATATGAATCTTATCCCAAGAATCATCCATATAATAAATGTTGATGCCTTATTCTGTACATCGCGATATATTTACCTGAAATAATGAAATAGGAAATTCTTCGTAGGGATGGCGGTTGCCAGCCTACAAAGCCCGCCTTTCAAAGCGCGCCTAAATCGCGTGATTTCCCTGAACGCGAATTTATCTCGCGGACGAAAGAGACACGTGAACGTGCGTGTCACGTTGTCGAAGGAAAAGGAATAAATCCAACCGGGGGATCCTCGTCGCCGGTCGAGCAACAGGAGCAATTCACTTGTAACGTTTCCCTCCCATTGAGGAGTGATCACTTTCCGCGCGAAAGCAACGGAAACTCGTCGGAGTCGTCGCGAACTAATAACGAGATAACGTGGTCCGAACGCGGTTCCACCGCGACGATTATTAGCGATACTTCAGGCGGGATGTGCGCGCCGATACTCCGAGGGGATCAACAGTCGTCTCTAATTTGTTTGTCAAACGCGGTAAGCCGTACCGCCACCAACCACCAACGACGAAAGGCGCGAATCGCGGTGCGCGCGCGCGGGTGGAAAAGGCGCGAAACGGGAGGAGGTGGCGGTGGGAGGTAGAGGAGGTGGGGAAGCGAATGGGGGGGAAGGTCTGTTCGGTAGACACACTTTCCGTACTCCGTTTTCTCCTGACTTCTAGCTTCCCGCCTCTCACTCCCGACCAAATACGAACGTATCTCGTCGAATATTTTTTTTTATCATTTATAGCAATTTATTGAACTGGACATGTATTTAAAATATTTTCATTTAAAGCACGTTATTTGCAATATGTATATTTTTTTATTTAAACGGAGCACACAAAAATAAGTATATTACGTATTTTGTATCTAAAATTGAAAGAGTGAGTTTTTTGTATTTTGTAATTTAAATAATAAAACTGGTTGTCGATCTTAATATTTAAAATACAAAGATACTTTTATATGCTCTCATAAAATTAAAATACAATTATCTTACAAATGCGGTTTTTCAAATAAAAGTGTTCCACATATCCAGCTCTGTTATATAAATACTCATATATTGCTAGATATATTATTTTTAATATTTTGCTTATATATTTTTGAAATTTAAAGATAAACACACCTATATTTAATAATTTAATATTTCTGTACGAAATTTTATTCGGATTTGTGCTTAACATTACAATATCTTTTAAATAAATTCTGAGAAATTAAACCGCGTATTTTTATTATTCCTGATGTGTTTCAATTAACTTTTTTTATTAATATGAATTGTTCTTTTTAATAAAAGGATCTAATTAAAAGATCAGCTTTCGCCTGCTCGATTGAATACCTAAATCTTCTTATTCTCGTTGTTATTCTTAAAGATTATCTTACTCCATTTCTTTCCTCAAATATTTATTGTTATCGCTCACAAAAACGTGTATATGTAGTTGTAAATGGAGCACATACCTTTTTTTTCATTTACATGGATGTGTAAATATATATGAGTGTCCGCAGTGTATTGTGCTCGAGTCCGTGAGTTTGCTAAGCCCAAATAACTGTCTGTCACTCCTGCAGGAAATTAATTGATTACAAATTAGTATCGTTCCGCCATCTGACGGTACCAATACAAAATTATCTAAGAATATTGTACCCAATAGGTAAGGACTGTTCGTTTGCAAAGATTTTTATTTATAACTTTACAATATTTACAATTTAGCGATTAACGATTTTGTGAATAAATCGTTAATCGCTAAATGACTACAAATGCCAATATTTACTTATTTTGTGCAAGTAAATAAATATTCATTGCGACACGATTTTGTAAAAAATACTTATACCATAATAATGCTCATTATACTAGACGTATTTGACGAATGAATGTAAAATTAATGTAGTATAAATATTTTTTTTAATCTGCACCACAATAAAAAAAGTCATCATTAATAAATAAGAATGATCTATTTGTTACCTATGTATGCAGGAAGACAAACGCCGGAATCGAATCCAGATTTTTTTACTGATAAGTAACTGCTCCGATGCCTAGCTTATTTGTACTTTTAATCAAATATTACAAAACCAGACATTGTAAATCACATTAAAGAACTGGAGTTGATAAACAATTATATTTAGAGGATAACAGGAGAACGGTTGCCTTTTTATTATCTTTAACACAAAAAAGGATTAAAGGCGACACAATGGCCAAAGTGCATAGAGGCTTTTCTATAAAATTAAAAAAATTTATTAAAGCTTGCCTAATTTAGACAATCATATAATATAATATATTAGCATGTCGCAATAGATGCCCCACCGATACGATATATAAACGAATTTGTCTCGCACGATTTACTCTATGATGAGTATCTCCTATTTGTTACGAAGCGACGCACGTATTTTTCTTCCAGCGTGCGTAATACGCAATAGCTTTATCAAAATTAGGACGCGATCCCTTTGGAAATTATATCTAATTAATAAAGTTATTCGAAATACTGAAAATAGATCGTCCTCTTTACTTCATCCTACTATGCTCCGAAGGAGCATATATCTTTTTTTATTAACATTGGTTCCTATACAATCATCTAATAAGCGCATAGATTGTCGTCACCTGGACTTCGTTTCTCTGGTCAAGACGGTTTGCGAAGAAACTCGGATATATAAAATATATAATATATATCATGTATAGGTTTATCATTATATATCTAATCTGATTCTAGAATGCTATCGTTATTCAGAGATACTAACATATAAATATAATAAAAAATGTAATCTTCTATCTTATCGAAAGATATAAATTCTCGTAACAAATTATCGTTGTCACTTCATATTCTTTTCACTTACAATTTGCAATCTCTTTTAAAATAAAAACATGCATAAAATGTGGGTTGAGATCGAACCCAAAGCTATTGACTACGTATAAATTTTCACATAAAACTACGTATCATTTGAATAAAAAAATATTGTTCATTAATTTTTTAATTAAAATAAAATAAAATAAAATAAAAATCACACAATAAAGAAGAAATGAAATTGCTGCTTTTAGACTCAATATAAAATAAAAATGAATACATGCAAAATAAAAAGAAACATCTCCTTATAAAAATTATTAAAAAATTCATTTCATTAAAAAATAAAATTTACGTACAATAACATTCTAGAATCAAGGCACAGACAGGACACATTTTCGAAATAAAATCTAAGTTGTGGAATGTGAATATATGATAGAAAAATGCATAATAGAGGGTTAATCATGTTGCTCTGTAGCTTCTGTCCGTAGAAACACCCATACAGAGCTATTCTTTCTAATAATTTATAGATACGATCAAAGTTTTACTCAGTTATCGTATTGTATCGTGTCCAAATGATTAATTATGACATCACATGAAACTACGCTAAAAACGCGACGTTAACTAAAAAATATCTTCTTTTTACATTGTGTTCAGTTGTTTCATTCAATCACATGATTAGGCCTTTGTAGAGTTTTCGGAGACGTGATGTAGCCACTTTTCACCACGTTCACAACAAGATTTTTGGGCTTCGGCGGTAACGGTGGAGGTTTGGACAGCTTCGTATGCGACACATCCGTGCCGCCGTAGCTTCCTGAGTGCGGACTCTTCGACGGGGAATCAGTACCGTTCTCGATAATCGTTTGATCTCCATCCACCAATGTCCTATCGCAGTCTAAATTGAATGAGCTCTCAAGGCACTTACTTAAAGGCTCGGTAATATTAACCAAGGCTGAAAATCGCTCGTTTGCGGCTCCGTTTGTCACGTGCGCAGAATACTCGTATCCACTGCTGCTTTGCTTATCCTCGCTTGAGTCATAAAACTTCGTGGTGCTTTCGTAATTGGCCGACACTACCCGAGTCCTTCGCATCTTGTTAGAATCGGATGGTTTCCCGTTCTCTTTGTTCTGATCAATAATTTCATAGCTTTAAGAGTCGAAATCCATATACATGACATAGAGATCTTAAATTTAAATTTGTGCACACAAACTCTCTCTCTCTCTCTACTGCTACTAAACCTCAACGTAAGATAAAATAGAATAAATTGAATATTTGTTGTAATGCAATATTTGTTGTAATGCACACGTGACTATACCTTTAAAAAATCTGGTAATTCAAAATTAATTTCTGTCCCTCTCTGATCCTCCAATCTCGATCTTTGCGCTCTTTTCAATCCCTCGTATAATTCTATAAAACAAATATGACTTAAATAAATAAATTGATCGTAACAGATAAAATTTTAATTAATAATCCTTTAAATTAATGTTTTTATAATTATATATAAAAATAAAATAAACTATTTAAAATCTGGATTTGTAAATTATAAAACATCTTACGTAAAAGAGGAATATATATTATACATATATCGGTCTTACCATCTCCGTCAAATCTGCCTGGAAGTTGCAATTTTACGCCATTACGCCACTTTGCGATAAGTGGTGGCTGGGATTTAATGGGTGCTCCCTCATGAATGCAATCGTTTGAATTACCCTTTTCACTTGTGTTGCAACATTTAGATTTCGCCTTAAAAAAGAAAACCGGAAGTGTGTATTAAAAAAAAAATTAAATTTCTTGATTAGAAAGGTATGAATGTTGAATATGTTACCTTCTTCTTTCCGTGAATTGTCGAATCTCGAAGGAAGAATTTGCTAGATAATATAGAAGATCCCTCCGAACGTTGATCATCCGACTGTAAAAAATAATTCAGTAAAAAAGATACAAAAGTAATATTAAAAGTAATTTATTGTATAATATTAGATTGTTCTTTAAACATTACTGTGCTTACCTTACATGATCCTTCACTATACTGATACTTATTTCTACTTTTTCCAACCAGGAGCTCCTCAAATACCTTATTAGTTATTTCATCTAGAGTTGGTTGTGCGTGTTGCATTTCGTCTAAATATTTAGCAGTATGCAATTCCCGTTGAAAATCTGCAGAATAATAACATTTAATTAATAAAGCTTTAATTTGTTATCGACTTATCAAATATTATATATATATATACATTAACCTTCTTCATTCGCCATTACAATAATGCGTGTAGGAGCACTGATAGCCATAATATCCATAGGAACACAACGGCCTTCACTCCAAATACTAATCAAGTCTAAATTGAAACCATATTTATTTAGAAGAGGTCTCAAGACTTCTTTCAGAGTTTTACCCTTGTGAGCGATAATGCTTATTATCCTTCGCGAGGGTAATTCTACTTTTAAAACTTTTGTGGGGACGACTTCCACTTCCTGGCCTGCTAATACTGACGAAAAACACTTCGTGTCCACCATCTGCAAGAATTAAATTACATTAATGCAATAATTAAGAGACTTACTTTTATCTTTTCCATCACCAAATTGTACAATACAGAATATAAAATAAATAAAAAAATACATTACCTATTAGATGTTTTATACTTCGTGCAAGCTAATATAAAATATTAGAGAAACATAAATTCTATTTATATATTATGATGCATAAATAGAATTTTTATTCATTGTAATGCAAAAAAGCAAACGTACATGCATTAGATAAAAAGTATTTTTCTAAAGCTTGCATTCGGTTAAACAGAAGGCAACACAAACCTCATCTGTTGCTAGTATCAGAACATCATAGTTAGAATATCGTAGGGCTCGCTTATCGAGCAAACGGGTAACCACGTCTTTAATGCTCTCGGTTTGGCTGGTTGTCACTACAGTAGTGGACCCATCAGGTAATATGACTCGAGATAAACCCGTGCATTTGCTGCGAGCATCTTTCTTTTCGTTCGTTTGCCCATCGTAAGACGATACAGACTACAAGTGAACATACATTTGTTCACGTATATACAAATTGACATGTAAGTTTTTATGTGCACTTTAAAATCTATATAATTTTGAATTAAATGGCCTGATACTATATTTTGCAAGTTTATAAAATTTAATAAAAAATCATTTATAATAGTTTGTACTAAATCTGTTCTACAATAGCTGATGCACATCTTAGTGGATTAATGCAACGTATGTACTACACTTTCACCTGATTACTCTATTATTATTAATAATAACTACTTTTTCAAAAAGTATATCACCAAAAGCACTGTCTACAAAATAGATTTACACACAACACTCGTTAATATAACTCAATGTGCAACTAAAAAAATCATCGCAAGAATTTTACACAAATTTCATTTCAATACCAGCACATACAATTCATACAAGTCTTCAAATTATGAAAGGCAAATTTTATTATCAAGATATGTACTCAATTTCATATTTAAAACGTCATTGGGTTGCTGTGTTAGTTACAATAATACTTACATGTTTGTTAAACGATTGCCGTAATGCCAAATCCCACGACGCTAACGATGACCGACTACTAGATATTGACACTGTGTCTTCATTATTGTTACCTTCCGTTTCTCTCTTAATAACTGTAAAGCTTTTATATATAGTCTCACTTCGGCTAGGGGTTTTATTGTATTCGGATTCACCACGATCTTTTGATTTAGATCTGAAAATGCAGAGAAATGAAATAAAATACACATTGCCCGAGCAAACGTGTTTATCAACAGAAATAAAATTGTAAATAATTTACCTATTTTTTCTGTTCCACGGAAGAAGCGACTTTCGACGACGATCTTCCGCATCGGAGTGACTCTTCTTTAATTTTACGCTAGGCGAACTTGTAAGATGTAGATCACAGTCTTCTGTATCAATAACAGCGCTTCCTGCTTCCAAACAGGCACGATAAAGTTCCGATCGTAAGAATCTCGGGTAACTATCGAACTTCATTAGGTTGAATACTTGTTTCTGAGTCTAAGACAATAATAGCAATTACTTGTACTATATACAATAAAATTCACAGATATTCATCATATAATAAAATATACGCATAAAAAACAAAATATTTTGAAAGATTTAGTGATTTAATTTATTATCAATAAAATTTTAAGTGCAATATTTATTTTTTTCTAATAAAAATAACATTTAAAAAAATATAACATACCTGTAGAAATAAATCCGCGGGTGCTTCGTCGAGTAATTCTTGAGTAATTTGTCCTGACGCATGACTATCAACATTTACTGGCTCGGCGGCTGTGTTTGACAAATGGCGCTGATATATCTGACAAGCTAATCGACGGCGCATAGTAGTATCTTTAGTATCTTTGTATCTTTCACAAGCAGCCCAAAAATATATATTTTCATGACTAAACTCCTTCTTGAGAAACTCCTAGAATAAAATCAATTGCGTTCAATAATTGTAACACATTGCATATAACGTTCAATAGACATGAGAAGAATCGCGCAATACTCACAGCAAACGTTTGCAAACCCTTTGGATCCTCCAACAGTTTTTCAAATCCATTTGCCCAAATGTGCACTCCCTTACAGTCATTGTTTTTGTCACAAGACTCGGTACTACCATACTGCAACAGATAAATATTCCATATTAATAAAATAAAATTGAAAAATTAATCTAGGAATATTGTTTCAAATATTTTATTACAGATGAACAAAAATTGTCTAAATAAAAAAAACTTCATCTTTTATTGCTTTCATTTCATATATGAATCTTATTAGATATTAAAAATTTCCTTGTGGTCTAAATTATCAAGGTGCTTAATATTAAAGAAAATTGGCAAATTAAATTACTTAAATAATGCTTACTTTTTTAAATTACACATTTCTAAATCAGTTATTATCAAATTGTTCAACTAAAGATTCTTTTGATAAACAACAGCATAGAAACTGTTTCAAAATAAGTGGCATATTTATTTCCAGCGCTCTATCGTAATTGCTGCTAGTTGGTCAATATTATTGTTATGCACAATCTAAGATTTCTATTTGCAATTCTATTTATCCATTACATCACGAAGTCTCCGAAAGAGATTCTAATATTAATTCCTACGCATTCCTACGAACTGAAACCTTTACAGTTCGGCACCTGTCGTGCACGCAACAGGTGCGCGCTATGAGAAAACGCTCTCTTAGATCGCTCGCTTCGCGTGCTCTGTTTTCCCATCCTCCTTCCCCGTTTCCTACGTGTGCGGAGCTAATGCGCAATTTCATCTTCCCACGTACGATTTTTCTCAATTGACATTACGATGTAACTAAAAAAGTTACTTAAATGATACCCCAAAATATTCAAGACAACAATAATAGTCACAACAACGTTCCGGTTGACGAGGAAATTAAATAAAGAATAAATGTTCGTGCGTCGGACAATTCGTGGAATGCAGCTTTAAACGAAGCCAAACATGAGTTGTCGCTATGAGCTCATGAGTCCAAAGCCCGTGATTATCAATAATTAAGGAAATAAGTCGCGTCAGCGCGTTCACCGCCAAAGACGTTAATGAACAATCGACAAGCCGGTCTGGGCTTTAATTAAAAAGAATACGATTATCGCACTCTTTACGGTCGATGATTTTATCTCCGATAGATTTATCCCGTTGTTTCTACGGCGTACGAAGCATTCATCAAGATACAAGTACGATGTTGATTTATGTTCACTTTGACCTCTCCTAATACGTTCACTTTATCACTTAATAGTTCGATATACAGAGTGTCGAATTTAATGCAACAGAAGAAGGACATCTTGCATAAATCTCTCGAGTTCATTATTCTCATCAAGGCTGCATTTAGAAATTTCCTATCATTTTATCCTTGTTGTACTAGTTTACTGATGCATATTAAAGCTTTCGTAAACAAAACGAGATAAAAATGTACGTTTAATAAAAAAAAATATATATATATTAGTATGCGAAATCCTTAAAACTCTTTATCGTGCTATTTTGTAGAATATGTATTAGGCCCAATTTCTTCACTTCCAGAAAGTTACGGATAACTTTAATCCAGGAGATATCTCCATTATAATCTGGGAGATATCTCTTGGATAAAGTTATCTAGAGATAGAGTATTCGAGATATTTGAATTTTACTTTTACACTCACAGATTGGAACAGCTTTAGGCTGCTTTTCTTTTAGAAAACATAATCGATACAAATAACGTTCCATTTTTCTTGACAGTCAATGAATCACAAAGATAAAGCGACACTTGTATCGACAGGTCTCCTAAAAGGAAACCAGTCATAATATGCACTGCATACTAGTGTGTCCAATAGAATTTGTTACAAAAAGTTCTTTGTGGCTGAACTAGTGTACACTTTTGAAACCTAAAATCTGTTTTTTATTCTCTCTTTCTCGCTTTCGTCAAATAAACATATAGCCATCTCACTTTAAGTTTCCAAAGTGTACACTAGTTTAGCCACAAAAAACAGACCCTTAAAGTCAGGTACACGTTTGATATTTGACAAATGAAAGCAAGAGAGTCCTAATGCACTTCAACTAATTTCGATTAACTTTAATCGATTAGTCCATTAGAATTAACCAATCACATTTGTCAATAACAGGTGCAGGAATAAAAACAGATCCTATCCTTTTTAAAGACAAAATGAATGTCGTTCTATTTTTATTACTGAATGTCAAGAAAGACAGAAGTTTTTAGTGTTTGTGTCGACTTGTGTCATTAAATAAAAAGCAGCCGTAACAATCACGGTTCGAATATTCGGTAAAAAACAATCTAAAAGTTTTATAAATATTTCTCAAACGAGCTTTCTGCCTGTGCACTCAGTTGCCGGTTGCCGCAAATCAATCTCAATTATTTAACGCTGAATATACAAACTTACGACAGACGACGAAACTTTTCCTAAAAACGGATCCATTCCAAATTTGCTGAAGCATGCGTCATCGACAAATTTCCGCGGTGACAGCGAGACGTGCCGCATACAACAGTGTTCACGATGCACGGCCGAACACCCCGAGCAAACCTGCCCGTGGCTCTTTTTTCTACGTACCGATTTCGCCAGTGCATCCATGTCACGCTCGCGGGCCGCACGTTTTCACGTCAGCGGCGACGGCGGTAATGTCATTTATCAGCCTCTCGGTACTCGCACGTACCGGGCGACGATTGCATATTTTGGCGTGGAATAGGTAAAAGAGCGGACGACGTCGACGTCGGCGACGAGAGCTAAACGGGCGATTTGCTTGTGTAATAACAAGGGCTCCGCCCAGCGTGATGATCGGGCATCGCCGAGCCACGGAACAAGTCGCGAACCACTGCGTGCCTTGGGCCTTGGCAGACGTGACCAGACGTGACGTAACGTGACGTGTCACAGGACTATGAGCTGTTGACAATAGCGATAATGAGTAGCCAGAACGACGTAATCGTCTGCGACATCGTCGCGACTGCACACACCGTGCGCCACACGGTTACTACCGCGTTCACCCCGGTGTGTTACGACGCTGAAGCTGGGGCCACTTTACGCTCGAACAAGGCCCACTTCCCTCCCTATCTCTCTCTCTTTCTTTCCTTCCTTTTCTCTCTCGCTCGCTCGACGTCCCTTCACCTCTCCCTCAATGTTGTTCTCGACTGATTCATTCTCATCGTCGACCCGTCACTTGCGCCCCGCTCCTCTTCCGCTTCCATCGTTACCACTACTACACGGGCCCGCGTCACGGCCTTTCCCTCTCTGTCTCCACCAACGAACTCTATCGTTCAACCTCGTTTTAACATCTATGCAGGGCCGCAAGTAGGGAGCCGATCCGGAGAGATTCATGAATGCAGAAGCGAAGAGGTGTTGGGTATTTTAAATGAGCTGTGAAATACGGATCGATTAAAATGAGGATTGAGACTTAAATGAATGGAAGTTTTTTGTAACTGTATTAAAGGATGTATAGTTTTGTGCAATTAAAAGTAACAGTTTCATCAAAATAAAATACCTAAAACCCTTTATGAGAATAAATTGTGTTAAAACTCTTCTAATTCTTCAATAGAATCAACATAATTAATTGTATATAAGTTGTCAGTTTGATTTAACTGTATAAACAATATGAGTCAATAAGCTAAACGTAGATGAAGGTATTTAAGATATTTTTCGATGATACGTATGATTATATTAATATATAAAGGCTGTTTATGGTAGATATAAAAAAATGAGCGAATTCTGAACATAAGGAACGGATATCCTCTGTGCAACCGACCCTGCATCTATCATCACAAGATCTATTCATGTACCTAAAGGCAGTGCATCAACCTCAGAGTTCGCAGGAACATTTTTTTAACGTTACTCTGGCATTGTTGGTTATAACGTAGTTAATAAGAGCTATTTTCAACTCTGTACCAGCACAGATTAAGTTTAACGACTCAATCCTATTTAACCTTATTACGCTAATTTATGCCATTTTACGAATTATGATGTTACTTTGAGAATTGTAATGTTAATTCTAGCTTATTACTATCTACAGATATTGAAGATATTAAATGTTCTTATCTATTATTTTCCGAGTGTAATCAGAAAATCGCAAATTTATAATTTTCATTTTTATATTTAACTTAAAAAATTTTTAATTCAAGCATCTAATATCATTCCAAATTATAAAAGAAGAATCAATTTCAAGTTAACTCCAATTAAGATGCTCGACTTTGAATTTGTCGGAAAGCTGCAGAGAGGAAATACTACTAAATGATCACTGAGATTTCCTGTAGAAAATTGCGAGCCTGATTCGAGCAGTATCTATTACATTAGTTTGTAATTCCATTCCTAGAAGCGGCACATACATTTGTATACCAAATAAAGTAATCGTATGCGAGAGCGTGTGGCGTAAATAAAACGCGGGAACACGTTCGCACAGAGCCGATCTGGTTTCTGTTTTCACTTGACCCTTGCCTATGTGCACGAGCGCAAATCAGAGGCAGGAAACGATGACGCAGTTGTGAGTAATGAGTACACGAGAGGAACCGGAAATCATTTGCAACGACAAACCTGGGAGCATTAATGTGCACGTTACTGATGCACATTTTCGGAAGTAATCGGAACTCGTGAGAAACCAACGAGAAAGATATGATTTCGCGTACATTTCGCTAATTAACGTAAAAAGACATGTAGATTGGCTACCGGTAATTAAGATAATACATAATGATAAATTAAAATGACTTGATATATATTGTTTTCGAGAAGTACGATTTTCTCTAAGAAAATGCTTAGCGATGGAATTATAAAATCTTAAAAATTTTTATCGCAAGCTCTAAATAAAAAAACATTATTATAAAGTATATAATGCAAAATAAAAATAGATAAATAAATGCATTCCAAAAAAATTGTCCTTTTTTGCTGAGAATAACTTCGACAAGGTGAAGAAATCAGAAAATATTAGATTATTATATCATTTGCAAAAGTATCAGAAATTGAAAAACACGAATTGATTAGCAACTTTTCAAAGAGAAAAATTTACATATATCGACGAAACAAATAAAACAACTTTCCTAAAACTATGACAGATTGAATTAAATGAAAGATCTCTCACTATGCAATTGTCCGAGGCGCTGCTACGAAAATTCCGTATCTCCTGCAGACTTCCCCAAGGTCGAGGCTTGTCAGACTTGCCGGAATACGAATGACAGTAAGGTTGTCGGGCGTATTCCATGCTGGAATTTATATCCTCCAAGCTATGCACTAACGATTTCGTGACTTGGCCACAGTACACCTTCGGGCTGAGCTTGTTCGTAGCGTCCATGAGGCGCTTTAATCCCTCCGTCGACGCCACTTTAGAAGATTCCGCGGCGTCCTCAATGCCGTCGAGCAATGCTGTGGTGCAAACGGACGCGAGGGATCCAACGGACGTACTGGCAAACATGGTACGTGCCGTCGCAGCAGGGGCAGATGTTCCGGCGCAGGTGGTGGTCGTACCTTCCCCACTCCCCGCCACGTGCCGCATCTCTGTGAAAAGCGCATTTCGTAGTTCCCCACCATCGTCACTGCTACATTCGCACTTGTTAAGCTCAAAGTTAAACGAATTCTGCCCCAGTTGTATCGCATTTCAGATAGATATAGTTAAAGAAGAAAAACGGGATTCTAAAATTATACGCAATTTTTACCGCATCACATTTTGGAGTGTCAAATCGAATTACCTTTAGAAGGATCAAATTTTAATTCTTCGCTCCACAATCTGGCCTCCGAGGTCGCGCGAACTGTCAATCGGTGTCCCGCAGCCTCATTGACAGGTTCTTTGGATAATCGTGCACTTACATTCTGCAAATGAATTATCTGTGAGCCAGAATGGTGTAATATTATATTACAGAATATAGAGTAAGCGGCAAAGCACTTTTAATGTTTCAGATATTCGATTATTTTAAAATATATACGTATAAAAAGATAAATTACATTTTTTAATTATTAAAAGTATTTCTAACGAGTATTTATAATGTCAAGATGTTTGTATGTTTCAAGATGTATTTTAAATTATGCTGAAATTATAATCTCATATTTTTGCTTTCTCCAATTTAGCCTAATTTAGAGACCTTGTTGCATTGATAAAAAAGTGACACATTTTAAAGTTAACACCTTTTTCAGTAGAACATTTTTAATATTTTGAATTAGAACGTTTTAATTAAGATAGTAAAAATGCATAACATTACTTTTTTTCCAGTTATACTTCAAATATTCAATTATATGTATTCTTTAAAATAAAACTATGTCATGAATTTTCAAAATTCAAACACTGCAACTTTTATACTAACTGTTTACTTATGTCGCTTTTCTATCAACGCCATTTTTAGAGTCACTCGGGTCGCGAAAGGTAAATATACAGGTTTTAGATATAAAATTTATAAAATAAAGTGATAAAATATTAACAGAATCTAAATTTAAAAAGTACCCTATATTGCATATTGGAGTAATGCCTCCTTCGTTCGCAATCATTCGCCAGATTTTTACTTGAGCAGCTGCCGTAGTCATCTTTAAAACCAATTCCAGAATCACTGTTGCTCGAATGAGCAGTCGACGTGCTAATATTGCTCGGTTGAGGAGAAGCGGTGTCCAAGCGTATGCGTGCTTCATTGTAAGGATTTGTGCAATTCTCCCCATTCGTGCAATCGGATATATACAATGTCTGTATGGCACCGATAAGGCTCGTACAACTGTCAGGAAACTCTTGGCAGACGTTTAACTCTGATGATTTTGTACACATAAATCCAAACACATTACATGCACTGGAATGCACTTCATGGTCGATTAACTTGTAATAAATAGTGAAAACGTGACACGAGTTCGAGACGATATCATCTGTGTTCCTCATGGATTTAGTTAATATTCCAAAATACTGCTTGTCTTGCTCCGAAAAGGAGTTACAGAATATTATTCGATACGAAGGGTATTCGGCGATAATGCGATTCTCTGAATTGGTGAGTTTAATATTGGCAACGTGAATGGTGAGAAGAACGGTGGTTGGATTTCGCTTCTCGGCTTTCAGTCTTTTAATGCATTTTCTCAAAACCTGCAACAAGAACAAAAGTAAAAGTTTATATTTTTTGCTATTATTTATTATATATATTTTATACAAAATGAATATCACAGCAATATGTTTATTATACTAAATTGACAATTAAATCATTTAGATTTACAATCAATCAAGTCTTAATCTTATTGGTCTATTTAGGTTTATTTGACCAAAAATGTAATTTATTTTCTCACTAATATTTAAAAAAACTTATTTCTCTACTATTTAATGATTTTGTTAATGTAAAATCTTTTTTTGTGAAAAAGTATTAGAGCTCTTTAATAATATTGACCCAAACAATATGATTATAAAGAACGTTTGAACAGACCAGCAGGATTAATCAACAAATTATTATGAATTGATTCTAAGTGTATGAGAAATGTACCTGCATCATACAGGATGGATGCAATTGATTCGGTATATCGATAGTACCGAGATAACCGACAACTGTTCTGTGTACAATCTTTTCAGAGTCACGTTTGTGAGACGCCGGTGGTGGTGGCAGAGGAAGCGGACTTGTCATATTCCAACGATAATGCAAGCCAGAATAATTATATTGATCTTTAGCGTCAGACATTGCTAGGCCACCTGGGACTGTATGGAACATAGCGCCACTCTGCAGATCCCTGACCACCTTGGCCGCCCTGCATTGCAACTGCAAAGCACCCGCACTAGCAGTCCGTGGCTTGTGTGCATACTTGGGTTTGGATCTTACGGTGGCCAAGCCCTCCTCGTCTGAGGAGTCGGAGTAATAGTTTTCGGCGATCTGCAGCCGTAGGATGCCCTTGGAGCTCCCTATCAGCTGCACCACGTCGTCGTGTGGTACCTTGCTGACATTGTGACCGTTGACAGCAACCAGGTAGTCGCCAGCGCGCAGGCCAGCAGCCTCCGCTGGGCTACCCTGCACGATGCAGCTGAGTATGCACGGCTGCTGGCCCGATATTGTAAAGCCAAAGCCCTTCGCACCACGGACCACCTCGACCGCCCTCACTCCATAGTTCACCCGCTTCTTCTTCCGCCTGTTCTGATGCATTTCTGCCTACCTGTCGCACGTGGCCTCTCAACGTCACGAAGGGTCTCCAAGAAGGAGAACGTCACGGTGGCTCGCAGACTTCATAATTCATGACCTCACGCCTCCACAATGATCATCTTCCTCTATGACGTTCCTTTACAATTTCCCTTGTTTGTAACTTTGATCATAGACCCCCTAGGAGTCTAGAACCAATTCTTTCTCCTTTAGTGAGGGATTTTCCAGAAGAAGCTGCTCTGGAACGACACAACGAACTGTCACTTATGTGGCACTACTCCTGGCCCTTGGGACCTCGCTGGTACGCCCACTTCTATTCGCGGAAATTATTCGTGGATCATTTGATAGATTAATCCCGAGTCTCAATGAAAATGTCGTTCGAAACGAGCACCCTGGACCCACCTGGACGTTCACCAGTGTTCGCCACTCCGCGTTGTTCGTCGGCCGAACCTCGCTAAAACCAAACTCTACGAGTGGATGTTTTGGAATGCGTCCATCGAGAAGGCTAGAGAAAGGTAATCGACCTTGTGGCAAATAGCTTAGCCCGAGGTGGCTCGCCGTCGTCATAGCGGGTGATTGGCTGTGGACGAAGAAGTTCTGGACATTTCACGCTTTCCTTACCGGCAGCCAATCAACATTCTTAACACTTTGAGTCTGTTCGTTTTGTCCGCCTCATAACAATCTGTTTATGCTTTAACAAAATGATAAATAATTAATTAATGCTATTATACGTAACAAAAATATATTAGTTTTCTCGATTTTGTAATAAATTCACTAGTTTTATTATGAAAACGCAGAATACTGTAACAACTTTTTAAATTAAAATTATTTTGAGGTAAATTCTAAACGACTAAAAAACACGATCTATTTTCTCTCCTGAAATTTGGCCAAAAGCCTCCGATTCGCTCCAAGTACAGATATATTCTCTTGGCCATTTATAATCGTTTTCGAACTTCAATTAAAAAAAGATCTCGGTAAATATTTCTGATCTGATTTTCTTGTAATTTTGTAAATTTGTGTATTTTATATGCGTAGAATATATTTTGAGAAAGAAAATTATCGCTCAAATTTCGCTTTTTTTTAAATAATTTTATCTTTTTGTTTTAATATATAAATCTAGACGACTGATTCGCAAAACAAACTCGCAATCGATGGTCAAAAAGCGCTCTATCTTTCTTATCTTATCGAAAAAAACCACTTTCGTTTCATCCGATACTTCACTGTTTATCACGATCGGCACATTTCAGCGTTATCGGCTTTCATTTTTCTTTGCTCTTATAAAGTGTATATGTACCGCTGTCTGCCGCTTTCCAGCATCCGTAGACTCGTAGACTGCCGTAGAGGCGTAGAATTAATATTCGACTCGTCGACTCGAACTGACCCGAACGTGCATCGCTCAGAGTACGTCTGGAAAGTCACCGGCTAACATATAATCGGCGGCCGATAACGACCTGTTACATAAATCGCTATCAACAGCGAGAGAGGTAAACACGATTCCAGTGCGTTCCACCAGAACCATCGCCCGGTTTGTCCTTCGTCCGTTGAAGTCTATTCTCTAATTGTACATATTCTTTATTCATTCTTTATTCGCCTAAATCGTCATAAATCGTGCACCCGGCACCGGCGAGCGTAGCGGACATGTCTCTGTGCCTCCTTGTCTCGAGGGCTTCGAGTAATGTTTCCTGCGATTAAATCTACAATTAGTTATGAATTGCAACATGCGCACGCGAAGATTCCGGTTTACACGGTTTGGAACGGGAATCGAGGCTGCGAGAGAGCGAGACTCCCGTCACTCACCGGTCGCGAATCGTATTTACTGCAAACGGTCGATCGGGTCGGTACTTGGCTTACAAGAAAATGGTGCTGCGTCACGGAATTTGCGTCGCGATTCTCTGTTTAGGATGTTTGGGTATTAAAACGCGCCCTGATTCCGCTCGATTCCCGTTCGCTTCCCAGCAAAAGACATTTGGTAGCGCAATGGACCGTGTTTTAATTGTTTACAAGAGTTATTTATATCACTGTCAACATTGTTCTACCAAGTGTCCTTGATTCCTCGTTCATCTCTTTAGCGACATTTAATAAATTAACTCGTTTGCAGGAATTACATCAGTGGTAGGAACACGTCTACTGTCATCCATGGCTGAGGCTCTGCAGACTCACGAAGTTATTCCAGATGTGGTGAAAACAGTACCCGCCAGCGTCCTGAATGTAACCTATCCCAATAATATTATCGTTCAGATTGGCAAGGAGCTCACTCCAACTCAAGTCAAGGATCAGCCTAATGTTCAGTGGGAGGCAGACTCAAATGCATTTTATACTTTGTGCATGACCGGTTTGTAATGTTTTTAGCCCATTTGTCATTATAAACTAGAATGAAAACAGTTTACAATTTTTTTAAAGATTTAAGTATCTTTGTTGCATTTAAAGTTCGCGGAATTTTTAATTTTGATTTTTTATTTCTCTCTGTAAGTTATAATAACACAGGACCATACCGAATTTTTGAAGAAAAACATAAATTAAAGTATTTCTTGTAGATTTTGAATCACTGAATCTGAATTAGTAAGCCGTATTGCTTCATCATGTCCAGGTTTTATCTAATCGAAAAAAATGATGAAAAATCTGAAAATTGAAACATTTAAGGAAAAAGCAAAATAAATATGACATTAAAATCGATATAAAATACTATTGTGCAAGTCAGGGAATCTGCTGGAGTCATGGAAGAATTAGTCAATTTAAAAAATGGATATTTTAATTGTTATTTTATCTTCTAAAAGTAACAATTAAAATATCCATTTCTGAAACTGAAAAAAATCTCACCTGATTATTGCACAACAGTACACTGTTTGTTTCATAAATTTTGTTAGTGATCCTGTGATAATTGCAGAGATAATAAAAAAGATGTTTATATTATTTTAAGTAAATAAGAAAAAAGTCGTTCTAACAGAAATAACATTAATGCACATTTTAAAGTTTAAACTTAAAGTAGCTCTTGTTTCATTCTCTGAGTTTTTTAGTATTGTAATGTAATAGTTTATAATTTAATAAGTTATTCTCAGCTTTGTGCTCTACAGCGTATTTTTTAAACAGATCCTGACGCTCCAAGCAGAGCGGATCCTAAAAACCGTGAATGGCATCACTGGTTAGTAGGCAACATTCCCGGATCGAGTGTGAGTAAAGGAGATGTTCTGTCTGAATACGTTGGTTCTGGACCTCCGAAGGATTCGGGTCTCCACCGATATGTATTCTTGTTGTACCAACAGCCTGGAAAGCTCACTTTCGACGAGAAGCGCTTGACCAATCGAAGTGGTAACAATCGTGCTAAGTTCTCCATTAGTAAATTTGCGGAGAAATATAAACTTGGCGATCCAATTGCCGGTAATATGTACCAGGCGGAATATGATGATTATGTACCGATTCTCTATAAGCAGCTTTCAGGTTAATTCTGTGCATCAATAATATATAATCAGTTACGATATGATACACATGTATTATACATAATGATGTATATCCAATTGTCTATTGAATAAATACACATGAAATACTTTTCAATTAACGTTTGTGTCTATTGTAGTTAAGGAAAAGACAAATAAATCTTTTATTTTAAGCTTAATTTACTAATTATAAATTCAAAATCAAATTCTTAAATTTTCCACAACATGCACATCACCTGTGATACTTAGTTCGAATTTACAATTCGTTATCATAAATGCACACTTTATATAAAATTAAAATAAGAAAATAACCGAAAGTACCAACAAAAATTTAGTAGCGATTGAAAGTTTCTATACCAACACGTTATAAATGTATTTATATAAAAATTATCTTTAATTTCCCCAAAGAAAAATTACATTCAATTTTTTTCTATTTGCGTTATACAGATATGTATATATCTTCATACATATTGCATGAATTAATCAAGTTAATCTCGTGATCTATTTGATGATTAATAAATTTTCTCAGGAAAAATTTTAATCACTAACACTGTGCTTATGTATTAGCAATAAATATACGATATTGGAAAGGCTAGCCGGATTGGCCTTCTAGCACGCAAGTTGGTGGGGATACATCTTAAAATGTTCCTTCGCTCACTAGTGTCTCGTTATTATTGCTGTTGCAGCTTGTCGGAAAGTGTCTCTAAAAATGAAGTATTTGATAACAGGTTTGTCAATCACGGTTCTGTAGTTCTTATTAATTTTATAAAGAAAATCGCAATGTTTATAAGTCATTTTAGTGATTGAGTATTTGAGTGAATGATAAGTGATATACTTTTTTATATAATTTTTTATATTCATTTGATAATTATATATATATATATTTTTTTTTTTTTTCAGGAATTCTTTTGTGTGTTATTAATTTTTCATTAGGCGATGTAGAATCGGAATTTAAAAAGGCTAAAATCGAACCCGACATTATAGACAAAGCACCGATTGAAAAGATCGAGGTATAAATTTGCAAAAGTATTTACACTAACATTTTTATTGTGTAGCTAAGATATTAAGTTAATATATTTCCTATATTTTATATTTAAACAAATGATATTTATTAACAAAACCTTTTTCTAAGCATCTTACAGCACAATATGTACTGTAACTATCTGTAAGTAATTTTGTATTACATAGGTAAAATATGGTAAGAAGGTAGTCGATTTTGGAACTGAATTGACACCGACTGAAGCTCATGAGATACCAGAAATCCACTATAAACATGAAGGAGGAGTTCTCTATACACTTGTCATGACGGGTGAGACTTGGAAAGTTTGAATAAATTAGTTGTAAAAATATTTAGATACATTTTTACAAAGATAGATTCCAAAGCGAAAATAAATCAAGTAAGATCGTTTTATTTTCTTGTTGCGAGAATTTCGTAAACCGCGAAACAGACAAATACGCATAAAGACGTGCTATTCTCGATGAGTTCAACTTTCACCGTCTCGGAAACCAGTTTTCTCTACCGCCACTACTTGATAGCGCGCGGATTCTCTGGCATGCTAATTGTTAAGTTAAGACTTATATAAAGTATGCAAATGTTTGAAAATTATTGCAATACGCGTGTTTAAAAATCATTAGAACTGTCAATATATTTCCGACTTATATGTTTCCTATCATTTCACAATTATCTCGCGATAGTTATTTCTTTTTTTATAAAATTCTTACATATCACAACAGGTGTATCTTATTATAGATCCTGATGCACCAAGGAGGGGAGGATACAACCGAGAGTTCCGACACTGGCTCGTGGGAAATATACCGGAAGAGAACATAGCTAAAGGTGAAATCCTGGCGGAATACGTCGGTCCTGCACCGCCGAAAAACACTGGAAAACACCGCTACGTATTTCTCATTTATAAACAAAATCAGGGCGCTATTACCTTCGATGAAAGAAGACTGAGCACTTGGTGAGCGAACGCGTTGTCGACGCAGCATATATCGTATAGCTCGATAATGATAACACGTTTTACCTCACCTGCTTATAGGGATGGAAGTCAAAGAAAGAGATTCTCCATAAAGAAGTTTGCGGAAAAGTATAACTTAGAGGGCCCGATTGCTGGTAACTTTATGGTGGCAGAATACGACGACAATGTACCTGCTTATCATAAGCGTTTGAATCTTTAATTAAACGGTATTTAATTAATCTTTAAATATTTTTAAATTCATAAATAAAAATAAAAAAAAATTTCATATTATAATAATTTTAAATCTCGCATTACTCACATATATAAAATTTAATGAAATTTATTATATAAAGAGTGTCGTAAATTTGTGGTATTATTTAATACTAGAAAATTGTAAATAAAATTATAACGGCTAATTATTGATATTTAACTTTTAAGAAACTTTTGACAAATATTTTTTACGCATTTCTACAAAAATATAATTAGCAGTGAATTACGCAGAAATAAGTGAATTACTCACCAGCAGATAAAGAAATTTCATTTTCAAGAAATTCTATTTATCTTCATTGCTGTTGTTTTATTGTTATAAATATAAAAGGTACATGAGACATTCATTACGTTCGTATCCCCGAGGTCGTTACATGACGTTAATGCGCCTTTGAGGGCGTATCACTAGTAGTACATGTGAAATCCTTAATCTTATGAACTTATTTCCTACAATCGGTTATTAAATACCTGCAGTTTTAGTGTTATGTTATACACGTTGACTAGAATATAATGAGCGTAATTCGTAATTGAAATTACGAATCTGATAAACGCCGCTGGCGTAATATCTTAAAGAGCAGAAGCTAACAATAAGTCGGGAAGCAGAAAGTTATTTCCATTACGAAATTACAGAAGTACAGGGTGCAGCCTTTTTTCCTTTATATATCGCTTATACGGCGACATGGAAATTAAATATGTACATGTTGCCATTTCCAATGTCTCGTAGGCCTTTAGAATATCGATAATGTATGTTTCAATCTAATCGAACATATAACACAACACTTCTCTCTCATTCTCTCGCATACTCCTCGAGAAAACTCATCTTTCAAGCGAGTGCGCGTCACGTTGCTTTAAAATCGAAGAAACGCGATGTCTTATTATGAATGTTTTTATCACACTATATTTTTTTGTGGACAGCACAATGTTTAATATAAATAAATCTTCTCGTCAATACTATAATAACGCGCTTCAATCAAATACCTTTTTTCGCGAAATATATCTCACTGATTCACTTGCACCTGCATAGCTTATGATGTTTTCTCGTTTCGCATCAGTGCTTGGGCATAAATAAATCGACAAACTAAATATACCAAAAAAGAATTGCACTTTCTTTCAAAATAGCACCAATTTGATGTCACTATCGAGATGTTTCCTTTCGTCTGCATGTGCAGTGTTACGTCTTGTCTCGAAGAAACGTTTATAAATATTTCTACTCGCAAGAAATATTCTGTTCGTGGCAGTGACAGCGGTCTTACAATCGCCTTCGATCGTGTCTGGCAGCGACTATAATACGTTCGCGCAATTCGAAACTGATTCGTTACAACGACGGAGTTTTTCCTGTAGTCTTTGCATCATCCTACTGGACATCCTTAACCATTCCATTAGAACGGTATCGTCTAATATACCTTTGGATTATCACGATAGAATTGCCGCTATTGACCTGATTATTCAGTAACTGGCAGTTCATATCACGATTTATGTATTCGAACCAATCATTATCAATATCAAAGTTTGTAGTTCTCAAGGCAAATCCAGATCTGGAGATATGGTCATGTTCCAGCAAAGCTGATGATCTCGAACATCTCCCCATCCACCATTACCCTTACGGAGTTTCGTCTTCTTTGCCGTTCCGGCAATTGTTAACGTTAATTGCGAAGGGAACAGATGATTGCGCGCCGCATTCAAGACGTTTTTGACCTTCGCTATCACTGCCGTCGATTCACAGTTATTCTTCTTATGATGCACTCCACTGTAAAAGCAAACATCCAATTAAAAGGGTGATAATTTTGGGTACTTTCCACTTAGTAAACACAAGTCAACACAAATATCATTCTATCTTTCTTGACATTTAATGAGTAACAAAAACCGAACGACATGTATCGAATTGTGCCATCAAATGGAAAACATCTCTTAACATCGCATTAACGCTCATGAATAATAAAAAGGAGATATGCGAAGGATGTCGCAGAATAAAAGCTCAATTCTCATTTATGGGAAATAAGCGAAAAGTTGATACTCACCATTCTCCGATATGGAAGACTCTCGGAGCTCTCATTGTCATTGTGATCAATCCGGATTCAGCGCGAGGCGCTATTCCGGCGCCCCGACTGGACGGTACGCATGTTTGCGCGATATACTGCAGACTCCAGTCCCAGTTGTAATCGTCGTAGGAACAAAACTGTGCCACGCATTTCCGTAGCTTGTTCCATGTGACACGATTGAATGCCATGCCCATATTGTGCTTGCTAGATATCCATGGAGTAACTTCCGCCTGTCCCAACAGAATAAAAACCATCGTTATCAAGTACTGATGTAAAATTTTCGCAATATCTTTTTCACGTAAAATCTACTGAGGGAAATCTAATTCGAACTATGTGACTATGACTAAAGCGAACAGTTGAGACAAAGTCAGAATTTTAGTCGTAAATATCTCCTATTGTATTCTATCAGACTCAAGGATCCAGAACTGCTCTATTTATTCTTACCAAAGACACGACTTATGACTTCAGTGAGTACGAAGTACTTCGTATGTTCACAATAACAACCGGACCGATTGTATTATGACTTTGTATCGTGCATGTGATGGTAATAGATGCTCGGAACATGCACTACTGTCTGGAGGAAATGGAAATTCATCTACAAAGGCGTTCCACCTACTGCATTTGGCATGATAAGAATATACTAATATTGAACGTTAAATTGATATGTTTACGGAGTTCGTATAAAATTCACTATATATATTATTTCCTTTTTATAGAGTAAAGAGCGCGTTTTCTCGGTTCTCTAATTCAACGTCAAGCAGCCGGAGCCACCAATCGATCGTCATGCAATGCGTCCTTTGTTGGCTGGATCGATGCGAGTCGGTGGAAGCGAGTCGTGCAAAGTTTGACAA